TCATGCGCAGTTTGCCATCGTAACAAAGGTAGATCTCAGGTCCCTTATGGCGAACTGACACCAATGCCGATTCCTCGGGCACCTCGCCTATCCATTGCTATGGATGTTACAGGCTCGTTCCCCCGCGATCGCCTCGATCATGACGGCATTCTCACGGTCGTTGACCGTTTGAGCAAGTACGCTCGTTTTCTTCCATGCAAGTATCGTGCTACAGCCCCCGAGCTTGCTCGACTCTTTCACACCGGCTGGATTACCGCCCATGGTGTTCCGAAAGATATTGTGAGCGCCAGAGACATTCGCTTCATGTCTGCCTTTTGGACTTCCCTCATGACGGAGTCCGGTTCAACTATGAAGCCGAGTTCCGCACGACACCCGCAGACGGATGGACAGTCGGAACGAGCGCATCAGACCGCTCAAACGATGTTGCGTACACTCATTCGTCCCGACCAGAAAGATTGGGTTGACTGGCTTTCCGACATCGAGTTGGCCCATAACACTTCGGTGCATTCGGCGATCTGCCTCACTCCATTTGAGTTACATCACGGTGGAGAGAAGGCCCGAGTCTTCGCCGATCTTCTTCTACCACGGGCCGCCAACATAGACGTCGCTTGCTCTCCCGCTTCCATCCGGAAGTACCGGGACTTGCTGATCAAAGCCCGCGCGAACATGCAAAAGGCTCAAATCCGCATGCAGCAGCAAGCCAACCGACATCGACTCCCATGTCCTTTCCGCGAAAGAGACCTTGTTTGGGTCCTCGTTGAGGAATTCGCGCTCGAGCAGGACGTCTCCCGCAAACTCCTCCCAAAATGGTTTGGACCATGGAAGGTAGTTTCTGCCGCAGGCGACGACCCTGCAGGTCGTTCCTTTGTGATTGCCATCCCACCGCACCTCCGTGTGCACCCTGTCTTCCATGCGTCGAAGCTGGCCATCTACACGCCACCATCCGCAGACGAGTTCCCGGGCAGACGATCATAGGATCCGCCCTCTATGGACGGCCATCAGGAAGTTGACCGTGTCATCAGGCACCGCAAGTTTGGCAACAAGCCAATGCAATACCAAATCACTTTCAAGCAATGTGACCCGGATGACACCTGTTGGATCTCCCGCGCAGACTTACAGGCATCTGCACCTCTCATCTTCTCCGACTACGAGACCCGAAGACTTGCCAAGGACAAAGCTCGTCCCACCCGACCCACCCCGGTATTGGAAAGACAACTTCGCCCTCACAGGTAGCTCGGTCTTTTAAGGGGGGGAGTGTGTTACACACTGTGTCACACGGGCCCGGTTAGGCCCGACAGATAGGGGTTCGGAAGCCGGTTCCGGCCCAAGGCCGGACCTTTAGACTGGAGGCCCCACTGTAGGCCCACCGGTTGGCCTTTAGGCCACAATTTAGGACCAGACCAGACGGGCAGGCCCAAACAACATCACCGTTGGGCTTGGTGGCGCTCTTGAGGATGCCGCCCGCCGGTCTGATCTGAACCGTCACTTTTGACGATTCAGATCACGGCTCGGCCTCGCAGCATAGAGGCCGGCCTTCCACACCGGTACTTAGGTACCAGGAGGCCGCCTTCTCGGGCATTCTAGAGGAGCAGCATTTCGGAGGAGCGCTGCGCTATTTCTGTTTAGAGCGCAGCGCTACAGCAGCAGCGCGAGGTTAGCGCTAGACTGCAGTTGAGGATAGAGCGAGAGCGAGGTACTTACTTGGTACTTACCTGTGGCGCCATATCTTCAGAGGACTTTTGCTCAAGGCGCCACCTTGCATCCTGCAGGTAAGGTTTAGGGCCAGGACAGGGTAGCGAGGATTCTCCTCCTCCACACCTCGCCATCTCTCCCTCCGCCTCTGCTATCTCCTCTCCTTCTTCTTCTTCTTCTTCTTCTTCTTCTTCTTCTTCTTCTTCTTCTTCTTCTTCTTCTCCCTCTTCTTCTTCTTCAGCCTTCTTCTCAACCTTCTTCCTCTTCTTCGTCAGACTGGAGACTTTGATA